TGTAAAATGATATGGGCTGAATGAGTTGTGGAAAGCTCAAATATTTATAGATATCATCACAGAAATAGTGAAAACTGAAAATTGGTATGTCACCTGATATGACACTAAATCTATGGTGTTTAAAAAAAGAAATAAGGAACAGTAAAAGTTTTGCTTAAGCAAATAGTAGCTGAAAATAGTCTGACATAAATAATGGAACATTTTTAAAGAAAATGTTTGCTGAGGACTGAACGTTCAAAGAGCTTTTAGGGATTTTTACAAAGTACGAAATAAAAGTTGAACTGTGGAGTCTGTGTTTTTAACGTTGTACGTTTTAAGAGTATTTCATTTTAAATAGGAGCAAATATTCTCTAATTTACTTATAGAGGTATTCCAAGTACTGTAAGCAGCTTGCCTTTCTGACAGTGTGTCTACAAAGCTGCGTTCTTCTTTCTGTATTTGTTTTATGGCTGTAACCAGACATTGCTGACCAGGACAACGATCTGAGCAGAAGTTTGAACCTGATCCCCTACAGTCCTGTCACCCCTCAGAGGACCCAGAGGCGAAGACCAGTCCTATTCACGCCCACTGCATTAGCCAAAACCATTATCCAGAAAATCCTGAACATGGGGGCAGCCATGGACTTTAATATCTGCAAACCAGGTTAGTGGAGGATGGGAAGTAAAGAGTAATTTATTTGATCATTTTATGTGTAAACGTAGCACAAAAAGAAATAAAAATTGTGCTTGGTTGATCTTTGTTGGAACAATTCTTTTTGACAATGAATCTTGTACCTTTGGAAGGCCTTATTCAGCTTTATTTGTCATACACAGTAATTAAGATCGAGTTGTCAGGAAAATGCATTTGTGTGTTGAGCAGGAGAGTTGAGTATGTGGGTTGGGCCCATGGAAAACTTTCCACATTTTCTTTGCCTAAATCAACCAGCTTACATTATGGCTTCTTGTTGGGTGTCGTTTAATCAAGTGGATGATTGACATATGAGGAAACAAGAGATAACAATTCATTAATTTAAAAAACAGGGGCCTCAGTGGCACGTGGAAGAACCATACGCAGCCACAACAGGCAGGCACCTTCTCAGTTATGCTGCTCAACAGCTTGGTCATACACTGTTGTGAGATATCATCCCACTCTTTAACCAGCATTTATTCTAAGTCAAATAGTTTTGTTGCAAATGTATTTTTCTAACAAATGTAGTACAATTTGAGGGACATTAACAGACTTTCCATCTAAATATAGTTATGGCAAAGAAATAATTGACCAAACACATATTTCCTTACTTTCTGAGCTGTTGTTTTAAAATCTATGATAAGAAAACCCTTTTGACCAGTGTTTTGAGAGCATTAGTTGAGAATTAGCAGCTGTACTGCCGAATGATTTAGGCTGTTGCACATTCTGGTTGTTCTTTTTGCCATGTACGGTATTGTTTTTTAGATGGCAAAAGGTTAAGCAGCTTGTGGGCTGGACAAGAGTGAGCTCTCAAAACACAGAACGTTTTGTAATCCCTCTATAAAATTATCTCTAAGGAAGAGGAAACTAATACCCAGATGACAGTCATTCTCTGTGCATGTTTTTGGGTCCTCTTGTCTCTGAATTGCCATATCTAAGAATAGATATGCTGCTTTGACTAGTGCTCTGGTAAAAGGTAGTGAGAATTGTCAGGGGAATTCTTATACACTGAAGCATGCATCCTCTGCATAACTTTGCTGAGCAGGTGTGTGATGCTGAGAGTCCAGGAGAAATCCCCATTGATGTGAGCAACTAAAACCTTTGTCCCATTGATCCTCTGAATGGAGAAGCCATTAATGTGCTCAGAATTGTCATGTAGCAACGGTGAAGAACAATGGGCTGAGTACACGTCCTTGATGGACTCCGGTGGGCAAGAATATAGGGTGTGACTAAAAACAGGCACATTCTGGTGTCTTTTTGAAAGGCTGGCCAAAATTCAGTACAAGAATGGGGTTTACAGTCATAATAGTCGATAGTTGTAGGATGACTGAACTAAAGTGGGGTAGGGTAAGTCTGAGATTGTCATCACTGTATGTTCCCATACAATGGCAAAATTAGTTTTCTGCATTTAACCCATCACACCTGAGATACACCCAGGTGAAACAGTGGGCAACTATATAAGCACCTGGGGAGAAATTGGGAATTAGTTGTCTTGCTCAGAGATGCCATGACATGTGGGCATGGCTGTGAGTTGAACCGCAACTTTCTGGTCCCCAGCCAGCTGCCCTGCCTCTTTCCCATCTCAGCCCCCTAATGAAGCTTGAAGTTCAAATGTCATTTTTTAACTTTGTGTAGGGAATTTTTCCATCCTTTGGGTTTATTTAAATAAAAAGAATTTGGAGAATCAAAGGTAGGACGGTAATGGTTAAAGTGAATCCACTGTGAGAACTGGAGTCAGATGTTGTGTTCTGTAATGTGTAAATGTTTAGAGGTGTCATTAGAAAGACAGTGGCAGCAGGATGGGAGATGGCCTAGTTGATTAACAGAATGACGACACGTTGAGGTGACACTGACACAGATATTTCAGACTCTTCATTGTACCTTGAATACGTTTCTTGGCTTTAAGCTGCTGTATTCATACTCATGTTCAGGCTGGTGTTTAACATACTGTATTTTACTTTATTAGTATTTAACGTATATCATAAGTCCTTGTATACAGTTTCTTTTTATATTTTGCTAGTTTTGGGTGTAACTGGAACCTTATACACAATTTCGTTCCACCTCATGTACCACATGTGATGCGAATGACAACAAAGAACCTCGAACCTTGAATTGGCTCCGTGTGAAAATGTTGGTAAAGACAGTCAATTTGGTTTTACAGATACCCTGTCCAAAGAGGAGTTTCATCTGAAACAGAACGTGGAGCCCTTCATTCACTACAAGGAGAAACAGGCCACATTCGATTGCATCACGCGGGAAAACATCGAGGCTGTCGCAGCCAAAGTAGGTTTTACCTGAATTTATGACCTCCACCTGACAGGTTGTTGCTTTTTAGCACGTTTGTGTGAAACTACCAAGCTCACAGAAAGAAGACATGAGTGCCAATGAAAATACCTGTTTGTGTGTAACTTTGGAAGCAGTTGTTCCCCAGTTTTTTATTTTATTTTTTAGATTCACTTTATTGGAAAGTTTATATTTGATTTCTTAAGAAATCTGCCTGCCCCCCCATCCCCCATAATTACAGGCAAATTTAATATTTTGATGTCCTATTGTATGCTTTTCCACTGACTAAAACACTAAAAATGCATGTTATATGTATGAAATACTAAATGTTTTTATTGTGGTGGGAGGCATAAAAACATTGTGTGTTTGTCTGTCTGTTAGCAAAATATCTATTGACCCACTAGATGGATTTTAATGAAACCCTCAGAGACCCTGATTCAAGATGGCTACCACAGCTAACAGCCTTATGAAACACAAAAATGGCTAACTCAGTAATTATACAGACAATGAGATAACTTTTGGCACAGTGGTAGCTGAGAGTCATCCCCAACAAGTATTCTGAGCAGGAACAGAGTGTGAGAACTTTGTTAAAAAACTGTTTGTCTGTTAACAAAATATCTCAAGACCGAATGGACACATTTTAACAAAACTCCCAGGAAGTATTGAATGTAGATCTACAAATGACACATTTTTAAAGTCAACCCAATTTACAACAGCCATCAGCTGTTCAACCTTATCAAAGATAACAATGGCTCTAACTCAGTCATTATTACAGAGACTGAGCTCAAGTTTAGTGTGGTAGTAGCTGAGAGTCATCCGTTTAGTATGTTCTGAGTGCTAACAGATAGAATGAGGTGTTTGATTAAAACCTTATGCAAGGTCGTAGAAAATATGCATTCCTTTAAGGCACGCACTTATTGGAGGTTCAGATGTACATGACCCAGGCACCACCTCTGGCCCTCAGACCACATTTTGCCCTTGTGAGCTCTAGGCAATGTTCTTTTGAGGTTTATTGATAAAGCTAAAGTGGAAGTTTGTACTGATAACAACCATGAAGATATTGTCTTTCTACTAATTATAACCGGTGTTACGAGATGGTTTTTAAGTATCTGAAACCTTTGCTGCTTCCTCGATGATTAAAATCAGAGGATCGGACAAACAGGAAGGGAGATCATATCTCAGTAACGGTCTCATGTCCGGGCACCAAGTGGACGCTGTCCCATCAGAAACCGTCGTGTCATCTGACCACAAGAGAGGAAAACATTTCCAGCAGGCCTCTCTGAGTGTCCTTCCTGTAAAAGGCAGACTGCTACATGTAAAGTCTGCACTCTGGGACTTTTCCTGCTTCTTTAATGTGCACCTTACCCAACAGACAATGGATATCTGATTTATCTCAAACGAGCAGCGTGAGCTCGTTTCGTGTCCTTGAGCTTTTGTTTCTGAGCTTCCTTTCTGCCCCGTCGCCAGGGAAAACACTGCCTGCTGGAGGCGGAGCTGAGCTGCGTCAAGGACCTGCTACGGAGAGAAATCTACCCGATCATCATTCACGTCAAGATCTGTGATAAAAATATCAAGAAGTTAAGGTAAGTGTCCGTGACACGGGTGCACCGGTTTACTGAAAGCACACGGCTGTGTCTAATGGACAAGTTTGTTCCTTGACATGTTCTTGTCTTTGGATTTAGGTTTAGGTACATCAACGTTCAACTGGCCTTTTAGTGTTTTTCCGAGTAAAGATCCAAAATCTGTAGGTCTGTCCACAAACCCTGGTGTTTTTGGACGGACTATGCCTTTAAATTCTCCCCTCAGCGTGTGAAATCTGTGATGTCTCTGAGAATTACAGCGCAGTCGTCAAACCGCCGCTGCACAGCATCTACACGATCGCATCAGAGACGCTGGGTTCCTAACGTTAACCGCACTCACCACGACACTGCTTCCTTCCTGTTTCCTGTCCACACAGGAAGTTGCCTCTGCGTGTGGAGTCGGAGGAGGAGTTCGTGAGGTTGTGTCGGGCCAAAGAGAAGGAGCTCGAGGGCATCCCGTGCCTGTACGCCACCCTGGAGCCAGAGTCCTGGGCGGGGACGGAAGACTTAATCCGGGTCACCAAAGACCGGATACTGGATGAGCAGAGGAAGACCGTCTGGGTTGAGCAGGACCTCCTGTAGAACCACAACTGTCTGCACATCTGCATACATGTGTAGCTAAACACAGCAAAACCACGCATCTTCTACAACTAGCTGCCGTTTTATATTTATTGTCACTCTTAACGCGTTCATGGACAGTGGAAAAAAATTGACTTAATGTAACATCATGATTTTTGTAAGATTATATCTTTAATTTAGAAAAATAAACATTCCGATGTCTAAAATGATCTTTTCTTCGTCTGAAAACACTGGGCAGGAAGGAAAAGGCGTCCACGTCTCTAACCTGAGTGTTCACTTCCTGTCAGACGTGGACAAGGATTAAAGCGCCCTCTGATGCTTTTGTTGCGAAAAGGCAATTTGAAAACTGTGGCAATGTAAGAGTTAATAATCTGCCAACAGATATAATTCATCTTGTTATTTTACAGATGATGTTACTGATGTGCAGAACAGAAACAATCTGGAGCTCCACAACAGTCCAGTTTTAAAGTATCTTTACATAAACGCACCGCTGCCTTAAATTGTCCTTACATTAGCCTATTTGTCCTCTTCTCTAAAAAATGTCATCTGTGCATCTTTATTTCAAAGGGGTACATTAAACAAAACATTTACAAAGAACAAGCTTTCTCAAGTTCAGTGCCGACGTGTTTAGATATGTCTGCAAACTTTCTCTTCATTACCTGCAAATTTACACAACGCAGTGATTTAATCAAGGCTAAAACGCTAAAACTAAACCAGCTGACCAGCTCACAACACAACGGTGAAGCCAGCTGAACCCAGTACAGAAGACAAGGATCTTTGGAGTGGAGTGTAACAGCACACAATAAATGGAGCACGGTTTGCATCCTGGACGGTCAGTATTCAACTCAAATAAAACATCTGCATGAATATATTCCTTTCACAGCAAATAAATCCATCAGTCCATATGTTCAGATAAATATTAGCACTGCTTCACAATTAACAAAGTCAACAGTGACACACAAAGTTACTTAAATAAGTGCAGGTTGACTGCCATAGACGTTTATAGTGCAGAATAACAAGGTTAACCCAAACTGCATTCAGTCACATGACACTTAGGAATATACCGTAAGTTATTATTTGAACATATTTTTGTTTAAAACTAATTATGTAAACAAAATTAGCCATTTAATGTGTAGGAGCCATAAAACTGCAGGCATCCATTCAATAACTTTCATCTCAGGATTTTGCGTTTTCTGGAAATTATCTCAAGACCTTTCACTTGTTGTTGTGGGAGCCCCAGTGGGACGCCAACCTAAACTTTGGGAACCACTGGTTATAAGCTCATTTGCTTGATTTGACTGTTGTGCTTCATTTTAAATAGAAATTCAGTTCAGTTTATTTATGTAGCGCCAAGTCACAACAGAAGTCGTCTCAGGGCACTGAACAGAAACATTCACATATAAAATAATAATTTAACATTATTTATCTGCGGAGCAGACTGCTTTGAGTTTAACTCCATCACAGAACTCTCATCTTGAGCAAGCATGAAGGCGACAGTGGAAAAAGACACAAAACAAGGAACATAAAAGCTCCCTCAAAACATTTTGGCAACAGATTTTTTCCCCTGAATAAACCAGAATATTGTTAGAATAAACTCAGGGGCATGGGTACATATAAAATCATCTGTCTTCAATAGGCTGGCAACGCAGTGTAAACTTTGGTTAGCGTTCTGATTTTTCAGTTTACCAGTGTGTAGATTTAACTTTTAACCTCCACCTCTCCAGGCTCTCTTCCACCTGCTCACTGTAGATTATCTGAAAACACCATAATCAGTGGGCAAACCTGCATTTATTAACACTGCAAACAAGCAGGAGCTGTAATCTCCACCTGTCTCTCCTACACGTTCTCACTGTCCTTGTCCATGTCCCCCACCACACCTGACTTCCTCCTGCAGCACCGCTGTTCCTTTCTCTCCGCCCCACAACTCCCTCTGACCTTTCTCTAAACATTCTCAAAGCAAATGCTTCATCTGCAGCGCTCTGAAACCATACCGATCATCTGACAAATTTAGGTTCAATCTGGCAAAATAATTGGAAGGCCAGACGGGGATTTAAGAGTAACCTAATTCAGGAAGATGCTGGATAATCTTCTAATCTGCATAAAAAAACTGCTCACAGCGACATGCAAATATCCCCCACCACAGCTCACATAAAGCATCGTGGTGCACAAACACTAAATATGTTGTATAACCTCCCCCAGATTAAAAAAAAAAAAAAACTGGTGTGTGTGAGAGAGAGAGCTGAAATTCTGCCAAGGAACAAAGTTATATTAAACAAATTCTTGAGAATTCTGCACTGATGAGAAAACCACAGGTGGAGAGAGGAAACATGTGATGCTACTGAAAACAGAGGATGTTTTGTGTGTGTTGTTTGGGGGGTGTTGCTACATGAATCAGCTTCTCTGTAGGGGGCCTGCTGTGTCTGATGTCAAAGGATCAAGAGGGAATATTAACGAGGCTCCACATCTGCCTCAGGAAATATCACAGACACCTCCAACCTTCTCACTCACTTCTCTCTGGAGAAATGGTGACATTTGGTTTTGCAGGAAAGCAAAAATAATTTAAAGAAGGTTATTTTCAGCTCACTGTCCCTGTGGGAGGGAGAGGAAGGGATCATCTACATAAATCATCCCTGAGAAGAGACGTGTTCTGTTGGAGATGACCCAGAAAAAGGAGTTTGGATCTCCTTCTCGGAAACCTCAGCTTTTTATTAAGGCAGGTTGTTGTAGCATATAATAAACACACACGTCTCTGTAGCAGGTTTTTCATTGGGATGCGATGACAAACTGAGATGAAGAGGGAGTTTCTAAAATGTTTTGAAACATTTGCTAGGGTTGTCAGATCCTTGCAGCGAGTCACAGTTTTGACCTTGTTCAAAAGAACAATTGAGATATTCATTCAACCTTTATTTATACAGGTTAATCCCAATCCAGATCTCAGATATAATGAAGACACTTTTTGATCAAACTAAGACCAAAAAAAGGCATATTATTTGCAGATGTTGTGCTAATGTGCTATAATGTTGCAGTTATACCCAAACGTGCTGTAAGGGTTATCACTGGGTGAGTGTCGTTCTCAAAGGAGTCTCCAAAATGTCCCAAATATATTCCCAGCTCTCTTGTGTGAGTCACAGAAACTTGCAGCTTGTCGTTAAATCCCTCAGTTTTCTTGACCCACGTCTCTGCTCAGCATGACCCGGAGCTGGTGCCCCCCCCCCCCCCCTCCAGCCTTCAGTGGGCGAGGGGCGTCAATTAAACTGCATCAAATTGTCTCACAGGAGTCACAGAGTTGTTGTATGCAACTCAAATCTGTCTCAAACCCTTTCTTTACATTTAGATTTTGTTGTTCTCGAGTGCTAGAGATGAAGTTTGACACCACCTGAATGACATCACTGGGCTCCAGTGACACCAGTAGGATTTTCTGTTGTTGTGATTAGAACCAAGGCAAATTATTATTTTCATGATTTACAATTATTTTTCTTTGCATTCAAACGCTGCAGCAACATATTCCAAATGGAAACAGTCTATATGCGATGACGGTATATATTTCCAGGGTTTAATGAGATCTAAACTGACAGAAGTGAAATTAAAGTTTTTTTGCTGAACTCTTTCTGCTCCAGGCAGCCATCTTGGATTTTAAGTTCAGCTCATAACTGGAGTCCTGACTGAAAAACTTTCTCTACCCAGGACTTGGAAACTTTGACTTCTGAGTCCAAATAGAAAACATTGTGTGACCTACCCCTCCTGTCTGAGAGGCATAACAGCAGCGGGTTGACTTTAACCTACCTCCCCACCCCTTACCCGCCCATACCACCTCAAGTGTTACATAAATCATGTTGAAATGGACAAAAAGTGCCTGAAAATATTTTTTGAAAGGAGCAGCTAATACGTTTTTAGATATCTATCATTCTCATATTGACACTTTTATGTCATAATTAAATTTAAATATAACTAAAATACAATTCCTACCAATAAAAATTCAAGGCCTCCACAATTTCTTAATTTTGTAGGTGGCAATTTTAACACTGAATTGATGGTTTTATAAACATTCATAAATCAGTTCTTGTTTAGCATCCTCCTAGAACAAACATAATCAATTTTATATTTTTTTTTCAGGATATCCACAATAGATTATTTCTATCTGAAAAAAAAAAAAATCCATCTCTAACGCAGAATAGTTCATATATCTCTATTGTGTTTGCTACTATGTTTTAATCATCAGCCAGTTATATAATGAATTGTGGCGTGACAATACTAACTCGTTAAGTAATGTTAATAATACCTTGTTGTAATGCTCGGATTTTCATTATTGAAACTCTGAGTTCAGCCCCCTCTTATCTTGCTGATCTGCTGCAGCCATATGTCCCAGAGTGCTCTCTGAGGTCAGCAGGTTCCAGGAACTCGTTTTAAGCTCAGAGGTGACGGGGCTTTCTCTGTTGCAGGCCCAAAACTACCACTGCATGTCAGGCAGGCTCCCTCTCTGTTTTTAAGTCTCGTTTAAAAAACACATTTTTATTCCCTGGCTTTTGACACTGTGCGAGTTGATTTTAACTTCTCTGTATTCTATAATGTTAGCCATAGTTCTTGTCTTTATCTATTTTGATCTATGCATTTTATCCTGTGTCCTTTGTTTTGTTTCTGCTGTACAGAACTTTGGTTGGCCTTGTTGCTGTTTTAAGTGCTTTATAAATAAAGTGGTATAATCATATGAAAGTTCTCAAGAAAAAAAAAGATCATTTTGGATATCTAAAACAAGCGAGATGTTAATGGCGAACAAGACAAAAGGCCAAAAAAAAGATGAATTTCACCAGGGACTACTCAGATTAAGAACATTTTACAGGTCTCTCTTGCAAATGAGTCCCCGAGGCTCAATGACACTAACCTGTTTAATTAAAGTTTGAATGAATGAACGAGTTTGCTTTTTAGTGATGTGCAGATCGATACCAAAATATCGATATCAAAACTTTTCGCACTAGAATCCATGTTTAAATCAAACTATCGATACTTTTGATACTTGAGTCATTTCAGGTAATGCATATCGTTAACAGGAAGATGGTGGAAAGTAACTAAGCTATTGAAATCTTATCTAAATGATATGCGGTTGGAGGGAACTACTTTTTCTTCCACCTGAATAAATGCATAATGCGAG